ATTGTCGGTATTTAATAAGATTTTAAGTGTGTTTTACATAAGCGAAATAACGTTTCTATTTACAATTTTACATAGTTTTCGAGCCTGTAACTTACAAAAGTCAATTTCAGTGTAAAGTAGCTTAAGTTCAACCTATAATAAGTACTAATGTCTCAGCAGGACAGTCTTATTGTATTTAGAAGAAAGGGAGGTAGGCATTTTGGAAACCTCTTTAAAAGAGACATCCATTTACAAAATTTTATGTGCCTGGCGTGTTTAAATAATGAATTATTTATATACACAAAATATATTAATGATTAATCGCTACGCGATAGTACTACTACGTCACGAAAGCTAAAGATGTGTTGCCAACCTACCTTCTTAGTACTTATTACCTACACTTTTTCCTCACATTCGCTTGATTAGATGGATTTATATTTCCATAGTTAAAGTTTAAAGTTTTCTGCCTACCTATACCTTGTTACCAGTTTAACTAAAGCGCTAGCCTCCATACATCTTGAATGCAAACCAAATCTTGATACATGAAGAACCTAAAGTGACTTAATTATTGTACGTTGGTCAATAATGTGACATTCATGTTTACTGTTATTTTTCAATAGAATCATGTTTGGGGATCTTTTATATTGTTTTATTTTCATAATACTTTCCTGTAAATACTTGTTTGGGTTTCGCGGTGTTATTAGTGTTCGTTCGGACTCTATAGTCCTCATTCATGTAATTAATATTAGTTAGGTAGTAAGTGACAAAGATCTTTAAGTACTGCTTCTGGTATTGATTGTAGGTTGCGCAAAACCGCACTGTTGCAACTGGATGTTTCAAATGAAGAAAATGTGTGTTAACCCTTTTCTTTTCCGATCCAGAATTTTGATTCTATTGAAAAAAGAAGATAAAATTATTCTTCTCGGTAATAAATCGGTGCAAAAGACAATAATTCTTAATCAGTACAAGTACTTATGTAAATCGGATAAACATGTTCTGTTTGAAAACCGCAAAGCCTAGCTTATCATCTAATTACTATGTAACAAATGAAACCAATATTAAGCTTTCAAGTAATTATATATTTTTAAAGCTCGTTAATATAATGATTATACTTTTCACCAATATAAAGGTACAAATTCATGTGCAACATAAGTCGCTAGATAGTCAACCTCGTAGTCGAGAAGGATGAAGTCTTGAGGTGCTCCGCGTCATGGCTCTTGCATGGTTCACATTACGCCCGGTGGATAGCAAAAGTGACTATGAAAGAGTTGATTGTAAATTAGTAATAGTCGTCTATTTATTGTCTGAGTGTGTTGTATTTATGTGGCGTAATATTGTAAATACCACTTAGAGTGAAATTATTGTGGTCATGTATGTACTATTTCACATAACTAACTTACTAAGTGCAGTAAACTACAAGGCACAGCGGGGATCATCCAACTCGGATAACTTTCGTCCATGCCATATTAATTTGTGAAATTTCCTCGCCACTAAATTCTTTATAGTGTAATTTGTTATGCTTAGCTAACACCATCATCACAGCATGGTTGCGTGAGATCCCAGGATACGCCGTGCTTAGTAGTCAGTTGTCAAAAGCAATAAAAGAAAAATTATACCAACCGAATTGTGAACCTCCTCCTTTTGTTGAAGTTGGTTCATAAATTATCTCAACCCGCCACGTGACGTCACAGTTTGTTATTTATAGGTAGCTTGGGGTCATTGGACAAAATTCTACGTGCTCGGCGACCAGACTTTATAAACAGGCACCACTTGCTACCACTGATTCCGCGCCAAAGGATTCTGCTTCTTGCACAACCATGCGGTGTTCTGGTGACAGACGTTAATGAAGCGTATCTTTTTATTTCGATTTATTACATGTTTAAAAGACAAGGTGCGCTCACTTGTGACACTGAATAATTTATAGGCCATGACGCTCTAAAGCACGGTTTGAATTTTATGAGTGGAAAACGTTTAATTAAGCGTGTTATGTAATTACAATTTTATGCACTTGTAATATTAATGATTAATGCACATCCTCGTCATTTCTGCTCCGTGATATTAAAATTACTAAATACCAATGTGCTGGCAGATTTTGTTATTTATACATACCTAAACGATTGTACATTTTAATTTGAGTGTGGATAATGAATACTTATTGACATGAAATAAAATTTATTTAGCGTTGCAATTTTGTTTCATTTCATAATGCCATCCATTTTCAATTGAGGCTACTCTTGTTGCTGTGTGTACAAATGACGATATTTATAAAAACTAGAAGAATAGGAAAAATATCTGCTCAGTGTTTGTAACACACAGCAACATGAGATTGGCTTAAAATTGATTTGAAAAAACATGAAAAAAAATAGTTTCTCTGAAATGGTGATACTTTTACTAAATCATCCATTAGCCTTAACATCTCATTAAGTTTGAGACGCCCTGTATAAAGTACCTACCTACATAATTACTTAGAAGAAAACAGTGTTTAATACTCGCTAAATTTGTCTTTGGCTTAATTATTACTTTGTTCGTCTTTGGTTACATTTTGACTTTCTAAAAGTCACATTTTAATGACGTCACAAAAAAAATTGTCAAAATTTTTGTTGTTGATAATGTGCAAAAAAATCATTGTAATTTTTATGTTTCGGAGAAATTTTATCTAAGACTTAACATGCAGAGTCATGGAACCACGGCGGAAGATTCAAGCAGGACCTATGGCTCCATCTAGCATGAAGTCTGCAAGGAAAAGCTTTGCAGTTACCAATACGTACATAAAAAGTAATGCTAGCGCGCCCCAAAAGGAAATTATAACCGTACATACGAGCACTCCTCATGTAGAGAAAAGATCATTTCACGCTGAACAAAATCAAGTATACCAGGGTGATGTAAATGTCCTTTCAATTATGTAAGTGAGATAAGGCCCCATAATGCGATTTGAAAATCTACTTCCTCCAAGGCTGGTGCAGATATGGGCTCGAACCCACGACTTTGGCGGTTGCCGGGCGCCTGATCTTTACCACTGAGCAATGGAGACATTGGTAAACCTGACAAAATTATCTTCTTTATCTCTAATTCTGATACTAATTGTTTATTATCGTATTTAGTATGAGTAATATAGTGAAAGTCACGGGAAGCCCTTATATGCAGGCAGCGCAGCAGCTGAAACGAACGAAGTAGGTACGTTAATCTATGTGATAACTAGGAGATTCAATTCTTAATTTAACACATACTTACATACCTAAAACCTTCCGCAGAGATACCAACAAAGATATAATGTGTTGTAAATATACGGAAGATGTCAACGACATTGCTGCTGGCTTCACAGACGGCACCATCAGGCTTTTTGATTGCAATACCGGCAACTGCACACACACCCTGGTCGACGATGAGTGTCGAGCGTACCCAGGCCCTGTTACCGCCATCAAACATCGCCCAGTGAGCAAAGCTCATCCCATAACAAATATGCTGTTGTCATCGTGTTAGTACCTACTGTTCGTCATCTCTTTGGTAGAAATCCTATAATTATTTTTCAACGTCGCACTTAAAATATCTATTTTTAGATGTAAATGGATGCATAAAATGCTGGAAATATAAATATGATCAATGCCTTTACACAATACGAGAAAAGCGACAGACTTTGGGACTGTGTTACCACCCACATTATACGAAATTTATAACCTACGGAGACGATGCCAAGCTAAATATGTACGACGAGGAAGCGCAGACGCAAGAAAGAGCATTTTATTCAAGGTGTCACTCACCTTCACGTTAGCTATAAAAAATAGAATTTAAGGTAGGTATTTATGAAAATAGATTCAGTACCTTGGCTTTTTATTTACAGTCAAAGAAAGAACATAGTAGACGGACACACATCAAGAATTTTTGCGTGTGCGTTCAATCCTAAATCTCATCACGAGTTGATATCGGGCGGCTGGGACAACACTGTTATGTGCTGGGATGATAGACAACCTTATGCGACTAGGTATTTTTTCGGTATACATATGTGCGGGGAGGGACTGGATTTTGATAAGCCAGGAAAACAGGTAATGCAGTAAAAGAGCTTTACGTAGGTAACTAGAAGTACTCTAAAGCTCGTTTTCACCATCAATCCCTAATTTTTAAGTGACCCCTATGTAAACAAAATCCCTGTTATTTGTTACCATAGGGGTCACTCAAAAATTAGGGATTGATTTGTGAAAACCGGCATAATTCCTTAGATTAATGGAATTCAGTAGACACAATAAGTAAGTGGAACAAATTTATGTAAAATGTTTTTGACGTTTTAGATATTGACCTGCTCTTGGCAAGACAAAGAAAGTATTCAACTTTGGGATTATGGGTCTTGTAAACTAATCGAAACAATAGTACCTGACAATTACCAGTCAAAGCTGTATTGTGGCAAATTTGTCCCGAGAACCAATCTAATTGTTTGCGGAGGGTCTGACTCGAATATGATGAGAGTTGTAGATATTAATCTGAAGATAGTAAGTTCATATAAAAAAGAACTTTTATTACGTAAATGTAAACGTTTTTTGGGTGTCTTATTGTATATGACATTGATGATGATAGATAGATAACACAATGTATGTAATGCACATAGTTATGTGTAGATGTGTTATTGAAAAATCGTTTGTAGTTGTAATTGTTATTCGCGGAAAATCAAATCTAGAAGGCCGATTGAAAGAACTAAATAACGATGATGACAATTTTCAGACAGAATGTTCAATTCGAAATAATCCTGGAGGGATATATGCATTCGACTACGGCACAATTAGAAGGAAACCAAGAAAAGTGCCTGAAACATACAAAAGGATAAGCGAAATTGAAAATACTCCAAGAGTCGCCTTTGTTACTGGCAAAAGGCTGCAAACAGTTGATTTCGGATAATATTAAAAGTCTTAAAGCTGTAAAAATCTATTTATATAATATTTATAGCGTCAGATGTGTCAATTTACTTTAATTTATAATAAATCAATTTAATATGTATGTCACATTTTTATTCATCATTCATAAATTTTTCACACATGGTTTTAAAACCGATACTCTTACGGGATAAGGTGTATGTACAGAAACTCAAAACTTAAAAGTTGTACATCAGTTCTATTTTGAATTTATTCTCTCTTTAACATTTCGCTACGCACAAACAGCCGTTTAATACAATTTACGTGATAGACAAATACACTGTGATTTCATTTGTAAATAGTTATAAAACTCTAGAAAGATAAAATATCGAGTTTGGCAAGAATTCATAATAAATAAAAAAACATAAATACTTCTACATAGTATTATACACAGGATTTGAACATCTATTACTCGACCGATTCAAGTTGAGCCTCGTCAACGGATGGGTCTTTCCGTGTTGCAATTGTTTTTTGTTTTGAGCTTTCGACATCACAGTTGAGACCACCACATCGGAGTAGTCGAGCGGCGCCAGCGACACCACGGTGGGCGCCGGCGGCGGCCGCTCCCCGCCCGCGCCCCGCACCGCGCCGCAGAACGAGTTGCGCACGCGCGCGCGCGTCTCCGGCCGCGACCGCCGCGCGCCGCCCGTCGGCTCGTACTGGTCCACCAGCAGCCGCACCGACAGGTCGCCCGCCGCCTCGCGCGGGGCCTTGCNGGCCGGCGCGCAGCCACGTGTCGGCGGGCGCGGACGCCGACAGCCGGCCGCTCCACGTGGAGGCGCCGCGCGCGCGCGAGCGCTCCATGCGCGCCGCGGCGCTCGCGAGCTCCTGCAGTATGGCACACGTCTCGTTGAATTTGCGCTCGTTGTCGGAGATGTCGGCGCGCGGGCGCAGGTCGGCCACCACGGCGCTGTCGCTGGAGCTCCAGGAGCTCTGGCGGCTGGGCGGGGGCGCGTCGTCGTCGCCGCGCGCCGGCGAGCCGTCGAGGTTGCGCTCGAACGAGTTCGAAAAAGCGTCACTCGGTTTCGTTTTCACGTCCACGATTCCACTGTCACTTTTCACTATATTGTCACTGTCGGGGGCGTTCCTGCCGTCCTCGCCTCGCGGCCAGGGCGCCTCCCCGGGGTCCCACGTGTGTATGCGGTCGGCCTCGGAGGGCGCGCACTTGAGGGCGGAGGTTCTCGCCGGCGAGAGCTTCGCGTCGGCGGCGGGCGCGTCGAAGTTGAGGCGCTGGTGGCGGCGGAAGTCGCGGCGCTCGGAGGCGGCGTTCTCGATCTCGCTGACGATGTGGCGCACGCAGGGCGCGCCGTCCTCCTTGAGGCGGATGATCTGGTTGGGCGAGACGCTGTAGGAGCCGTGCGCGCAGGGCATGAGCATGTGGCGCGTCTCGGAGGCCAGCGAGAGGTTCTCGAGCGAGACGGAGGTGGGCGCGCGCAGCTGGGCGGCGAGGCGCGTGTCGGGCGCCCAGGAGCGCGGCCGGCCGCAGTAGGAGCCGGTGAGCGCCAGCACGAGCGGCGTGGGCTCGGACGCCTTGTGCTCGGCCTTGGCCGACGCCTTGGGCGACTTCAGGTTGGTCTCGGACTTGGACCGCTGCAGCTTCTCCTTGTTCTTCATCGCGTCGAGGATGCCCTGGTACGTCTCGAGCTGGCTGAGGAAGTTGGCGTTCGGTTTGATGCAGTTCCTTTTCGCCTTCACGTGCTTCAGGGCTCTGTCGAAGTTCCAGTTGAACGCCTTCATGGCGTAGGCGATCACCACGGAAGCGGACCGGCTGATGCCCATTTTGCAATGAACGAGCACTTTCGAGCCCTCGTTCCTGGCTTTGTTGATGTACTTGAACGTGTTGTCCCAGTGTTTCAGTAGATCAGTCTTCTCGTCGTCGTACACTCTAATATTTAAATAGTCGAACATGCCAGGGAAAAAATTGTCAATTTCTCTCGTCACATTTAAAATATGTCTCACCCTGAAACAAACAAAACGGTAGTTTTGAATGAAGCGTAAAATTTTTATTTTAAATCTCATGTGAAAATCAGTTCGGGTCCGATGCAAATTTCCGTTCCGATCGTTCGCCTGCGAAGTGTGGAATCGTGAATGTACGAGTGTGATGTTTACCCATTGCGTTGCAGCTCCTCGAGGTTGCTGGCGTTCCACTCGGAGCCGAGGTAGACGTGGTCGAAGACCTCGGTGGGCGCGTCCATCTGGCCGAGGATGGTGAGCATCTCCTGGTCGATGAAGGACTTGTACTCGGCCAGGTCCATGTCGAGCTCGTCCTCGAGGCGGCCGCGGATGGCCTTGCTGGTCACCTCGTCCAGGTCCACGCTCATCATGATCTCCTTCAGCGTGCAGCGGATCACGCGCTCCGTCTCGTCTCTCTCTCGTGGCCTGGAAACGATGCGATTATAACATTAGATATTAGATACGTTGTTTATGTAAAATTAGTGACCCGACCCGGCATCGCACGGGTGCTAAGTATACATATAAGTAAACCTTCCTCTTGAATCACTCTCAAAAAAACCGATCAAAATCCATTGCGTAGTTTTAAAGATCTAAGCATACATAAGGACAGACAACGGAAAGCGACTTTGTTTTATACTATGTAGTGATTATGTACAGTTATGGATGGATTTTATCATAACTTCTACATAATAATGGACTGAAAAATACACACACTTTTGAGATGAAACTCTTCTTTTTCATTACTTCAGGGTTAATTTTATCAAATTATCTAGTTTAGGATACTGATATTACGTTTTAGACAATAAAATATTAACGCTACGTGGAGGATTATACTTTTTTGTTTGATTTGTTTATCAAGACAATGTAAAAATAATAGATTTAGATCAGCACAAACAGTGTTATAGCCATCTCAGCTAGTCCTTATTTCAGATTTCTCACAAACATTGTATCGTTTTGCTATGTCCGTGTTACAAGGCAAATAATATTGAAACACTAACGATTCTGTTCCTCAAATTATCCTAATACTACAGAAATATGATAATTGATCTTTGCATGCAAGTAACGTATTTTAATTAACGCATCGGCCGACGTCCGATCCTTTTCGAGGCCGAGAAACGAGGTCTAGGCGCTCGTATGCGTGATCTGTTACGTACAAATACCGTTCTTTAATTATAGCCTTTTAGGTAATAAACATCGAATACTGTTATTCCATGTGTTTCCTTCCGCTGAATTTTCCTTATTGACGTGTGTGTGGGCCGAATATCAAAAGTATGCCGCTATGTTTTGATTTAGAACATTGTTCAAATGTTCAGTCACTGACTCAGTGACTTATGGTGAAGAATATTAACTTCCGGGATTGATCCAGGAAAGTAACTCGTGGTTTTATCATTTTTGTAACCAGCATATGTCTCACTTAAGTCGGGCAAGTTAACAGGACCAATCAAAAGTTCGGAATAAGTGTCACTGGAGTGCAGTCCAGATAGTCATCTGAGTCTCCGCGAGGCGAGTGAGGGCAAGAAGCCTCGATTTAGCCAATACTTTTTGAGGTGTAAGGTGTGGTCGCATTCGAGCGCTGCACGTTACTAATGCGCCTTGTCCTATCAATCCCCAAGCGGTCATACCGCGACCGCGTTATAATTATCTATTGTGTCTCCATTCACGGCGCTTGAAGGGCTACGGGGTCATCATCAGAAATAGGACAGTTGACAAGTCTAATTTTATCAAAAAATGCGAGCCGAATGACGCGAGGGAGTATTGGACCGATACCAGACAAACTCGTTCACACTGCTCCGGTCCGGTAATTCTAGCATTTCATCATCATCATCATCAACAGCCCTTTACAGTCCACTGCTGGACTATGAGCCTCCTCTACTATAGTGGAGGGTTTTGCCATAATCTCCACGCTTGGCAGGCGGGTTGGATTGAATTCTAGCATTTACCGAGGGATAATGTTAGCTTCATACAAATTGTACAGCCACTAGCCCTTCCGGGAGTTTTACCGGTCCGGCGTAGTGGCAGAGTAAATACAAATAAGTAGGTCATCTTCATAGAAACGCCCGAGCGCGGTTTGTATATGAGCGCGCCAATACGTACTGACAAAATATAGCGTTGATTAGCGGTGAGGTGCGCTGAATTTTGTCAGTGTGTGCGTGCGCGCCGCATACGTATTGGCGCGCGCTCACATACAAACCGCGCTCGGTGCGTTTCTATGAAGACGACCTACTCATTTGTATTTACTCTGGTAGTGGGGACCGGGCCTAACTCACTTGAGTCTCAGCGAGTCGGGCGAGGGCGGGCGGCGGGACTCGATGCAGTCCATGGCGTGCCACTCGTTGAGGCAGGAGCGGTCGGAGTCCACGTGGCCCTCGTAGTAGGCGCACCAGGCGTGCGACGTGCCGCCCGCGAAGTGGTTCAGCTCCCTGGCGCGCCCGCTCGCGCGATGCAGGGTCTGTAGCGCCGACCTAGAAAAAGGTAGAAACTGATTGTAAACAAAACATTTTCTTATTTTTAAGGATATTTATTTATTTAATGACTTTATTGCACACACAACAATGTTCAGTACAAAAAGGCGAGCTTAATGCCTTATGATATGTTCTTGTCAAGTATGCACGGAAACCTAGATGTTAGACTTTAAGGCTCGCCGCAAATGGGTCGCCGTCGCTGGTCACCGGTGGCTGTAGTCTGTGGCCCATTTGCGCCTAGCCTAATGCGACTTGAAACTTGTTACGCTTGGGCAGGTTTTGGATTTTTATTTTGGTGTATCTGATACAAATAAGAAACATATAATAACAACAATAACAAGACTTTCATCGACGACATAAGACTATCATCGATGTCCTTTGGAACTGTATTCAAACCACTTTGTTATATGTAGCTCTTTTATTAATTTCAATACATAAAATGTGTAGATTTGAAACTGCCCCAGGTCACTAGTACATAATCTCGTAAGATTATCAAAGAGACAGTAACTCTCTTGGGCTGATTCTAACTGACATTGTCCTGAAGTAATGGTATTTAGTGGAAAAATGTTGGGATGTCTAAAATAGCATTCAATATTGTTACTGAGGATAAAATTATTTTTTATGACTTTTGTATAGAGCGAGTATTGCGAGCGAGTAGACTATTTACCTAAGAAAATTCATACAAGCCTAGTTAGTATTCTCACATTACACCTAAACAGTTGACATAATACCAGTATCCTTTTTCGTGTTGTGCAAATAAATATTCTGGTTACCTATCAGTTATTTCTAGGACACATATACTGTACTAGAAAGCTCATCAAAATAGAACCGTTAATGCCCCGTAAAGTAGATAAAGTAAATGGTTAAAATTAAATAACGAGGATCATTACACACATGGAATGTGTAGATAAACAAAAGTATTTAGTTTTAGTGAGCACAATACGATTCCACTCACCACATGGCCTGCACCGACACCGGCTTGAATATGTGTTGTTGGTTGCACACACGCACGCTGAACCCTCTGTGGACAATGAATCCCTAATTAGTTATTGTTCTTAGCTCACTTAAATGTATGTGGACAAAATGGTTTCTTGTTATTATACAGCGGACTATCATGTTTGGTAGCGTTACTGTTACGTTTAACAGCATGGCTTTGTATTGGCATAATTCACAAAAGAGTTATTACGAGGTTAGTAGGATAGAAATGTCGTCATCAGTAGCGTCGCGTTTTAGATTTTCGTGACTCGTCTCCTCTTTGTATGCCATTTTACCGGAAATATGAATCATTTACTTGCATCTGTAATTCAGTCAGTATATTTTCATTAAATCTATAACTGATAACCGTGAAACATAAAAATATCTCACGCTTACCTAACGCCGTCAAGCTTGATCAACCTGTCAGCAAAGATCTACGGCACGAGGCAAACTGCGCCTGTGTCCTTTGCTTTGTTAATCTAAGCAGCTAGAAAATAAGCGCTCAACCATCCTGGTTAAGCTTAACCGAATTATCAGCGAAAACCCAGTTTAGGATACGTTCGCTTCAGTATAAACTGGAAGATAAAACGCTAACCTCGTTAAGCTTGATCGACGTATCGGCGAGGACCCGCAGCACGAAGCCCACGCTGGAGCGTTCGTTATTATTTACTAATGTAGCTGGAATATAAAGCGCTTACCCAAGCTTTTTCGAAGTGACGACAAGTTCTTTATATGCTTTTTAAAAAGAATTTAAAGTGTTCTGTGCTCACCCATCGCCGTCAAGTTTGACCGAAATGGCGACAAGGACCGACTGGTCTGGCTTGTGACATCACTAGACTTTCTTCAATGAATTTAAAGCGCTCACCCATCGCCGTCAAGCTTGATCGACGTGTCGGCGAGGACCCGCAGCACGAGGCCGACGGTGGTGCGTTCGTTGCAGTCGATGCCGAGTAGCGCGGCCTCGTCGTCGCGGCACACCACCACCAGGTAGCGCGTGCGACCCGCGTGAGCGCTCTCCAGTTTCACCGCCTTTGGACAAATTCACACTTAGAATAGAACATAAAAATCTTTTTTCGACACAAAACAAACAAAAATAATAACAAACTTAAAATAAACAAATTAAGTATTTTGTGCTAAAAAGGTGCACACGCGCGCCTCGACACTGGTTTTCAGCGGGTTCACTTTGGTAAACTAATCAAAAACATGCACTCTTTTCGAAAATAGCCATCATTCAGTTTCAGCGACAAGTTACGCATGCATTTTAATTTATTAAAATTAAAACTCGCCAATTAATATTACAGGAATTTTACATAATGTAAACTAGTTTTCTGGACAGCCAGACCTTTCAAAATTAGATTGATGAGTTGTGCAATAGGTAAGTTGATCCAGTTAGTACAGTAGTAGTTACAGTATCTAATTAAGAGCACATTGAATATTTTATAATGTAACAGAAAATAATATGACTGACTGACCTTATGCTCATAACATCTCATTATGAGCATAAGGGCGCCTTCAAATTAGTTAGAGGCGTGAGGAAGCGCCACAGTGGCGCCACTGCTGCGCCAGCGTTTCCTCATGCCTCTTTACTTCTTATTTGAATTTGAAAGTGCCATAAAGCTTCATGCCATATAAGCTACTAGCTTTCCGCCCGCGGCTTCGCCCGCGTGGAATTTTGTCTGTCACAGAAAAACTTTATCGCGCGCGTCCCTGTTTCAAAAACCGGGATAAAAACTATCCTATGTTCTTTCCCGGGACTCAAACTATCTCTATGCCAAATTTCATCAAAATCGGTTGCGAGGTTTAAGCGGGAAAGCGTAACAGACAGACAGACAGACAGAGTTACTTTCGCATTTATAATATTAGTTGGGATTTACCATTTTGAGCGTCTCTTCAGGTCGCAAAAGATAAAACATGGATTGTAGGTGGTGCTGTATATCGGGCTGGGGGTGAGCGCGCGCGGGCGACGTGCGCTGGTCGGCACAGCCCCGCTCGGCGCCGCCCAGCACCAACGCCGCTCCTTTGTTCGCGAAGTAGCACTCATTGAGGCTGCAACAAAAACATTAACCCATCAACCACATGTAAATAAGACCACCTACTAAAATATCTATCAAGAGAAATTACACCTAAACGCACGCACATAATATAAGTAGTACCGGCACGCGCAACACGTCGTCCTTCAATCGAGCAATACAATATTCGCATGAGGTACTCGGCAATAATTATTTTTTAAATATAATGCAACCGCGAAATGTATGAATGACGCCATTTTTAGTAAAGTTGCCGCAATCCGTCTTGCCGTAGCGTTTAACCTCCCTTTCACCGGCGCGGGCGCAGGCCGGAGCTGGGCCCGCGCAGGGACGACGCGCTGGCTGGAGTGCACTCGACGCCGCGCCGCTCCACATAAACACGATTACTCATTGGGGACTCTACGCAACGCAACGATAAACTCGCAGATGGCATCAAACAATAATAAAAACAGAACACTCATCTTATGTTTATGATGAAACACCGAAATTAATTTTACAAGTTCTATGAAAAACCTCACACAATCATGTTATATCAATTGAGCGGGAAAAGTAAAGGAATAAAAAACGGCACATAAACAGGATAATTCTAATAAAATAACACTGTGTGCTATTTTAATCTACAGTATTTTCAAGGAAGCGAATGTGCTCATTAATTAATACGAAGAACGGTAATGGGAGCATCTTGCACCGTATAAAAATATTTTGCGTTTGTAAATTATTAATAAGAAGTTAATGTAGCTATATTTGAATGCTAATGAATTATACAGTACATTATATTTCCTATTTTTACTAATGTATGTGTATCCTGTAAAGATATGTAGGTAATGAAATATTTACTAGTATGTAGTACCTACTCAAGGAAAACGGTAACAAAATGGTTAAATATTTGTATTATGTTGGTGGTGTGCCACACTGCATTACTACGATTAGGCACTCTTATTATGGCTAAAAATATAAAGACAAAGGTGCGATTACGGCCGCGCAGTGACATTTAACTTTATACGGCCCGTCGAGCGCCTTTCAAAAGAGGTATTTGTATCGGACGTAAAACGTATGATGAGGTCATCCGAAAATAGCGCTACGGGAAACATGTGGGATGAAGATAGTATAGCTATACAAGGGAAGGTGAGATGGGCGGTTAATAATAGAGTGAAAATAATAGATTTGTGGTGACGTTCGTGAGGATAGGCTGCAATTCCTAACGTTGCCTTGCATTAAACGGCAAGGGCGATTGTTCTCAAGGTTCATTAAAAATAGCGGCGGCGTTTTGCCAAAGCAAAGCGGTGTTGCCCACCCATACTAGTCACGGGAGCGCAGGCAAATCGCTCGCACGGCCAACGCAACTTTACCCGATTCGGGCAGATAATGGGCTCGGTGCAAGGCACGGCGCCCAGTAGCTAATCAGTGAATAGATTTAGATAATTAGACATCATATCTATTCTCCAGAAAGTGATCACATCACATTGCAGTACGTCAAGAAACCTAATAATCTTCTTTGGTTTAAATTACTCGTGTTTGTTGATTTAAGATTTGTATTATTAATTCAAACGAAATTGAATGTAAGCTGAATTTTATTTTTCTTTTGTTATTGGGATATTATAATCTTATTATTATTACATTATGCCCATGTTGAAAAATTTGTTTCTGAAATTCTGATCAATCAAAAAGATGCCTCTCAGTTTATTGCAAATCATAAATCTAAATTCGTTGCTAAGTTGTATACTGAATGGAATAATTAACTTGATTACTGCAAACTAATATTATTTCAGAACTTCTATAATTTGCAAAAGAAAGGTCGGATCCATATTTGAATGATTGTGTAACATTATTAATTTATAAAAGAAGCTAAAGATCTTAATATTTCTTCCTATAAAAAGTAGTTAAGGTAATTAATTTGTAATCAGTTGTCACATACCGACATTACTTTATGAAATTTCTTGATACAGAACATACTTTACATTAGTATGTTATTTACACTAATACGATACGACCAACAACAAATATGTAATGAAAATAAATGGATTATTTAATACACATTTACTAAATAATATTTGGTCATAAGTGTAATCTTAATCATGTACTCGTACGAGACCACTCCTTTAAAGATAAGTTCTTATCTAAGTCAGGTATACATTAAAATTAAATGTTCCCTTCGATCTCTGTAAGTTTAACAATGTCTGCAGACAATATAGTAGTTTTCAATTCGACATTGTGATCTCCATCCCAAATTATGTAAAAACACGAAAGGAAACCGAATTTCTCTCAGTTTTTATCGAATTCATTTTGAGCAAGATATTATGGACATTTAGTGGATACGTAAGAAACTTTATAAAGGCATTACATTTGTACTATTTTTTTCATTAGTCGTGGACTACATACTTAAGCAGCAACAACAACTTTTCGTCAGTCGTAGATCCCTATTCGATGACGCGAGAACCGCTCCTGGTTTTACCAGAGCTTCTTGTCATACGATAAAAAATCGAATCAGAAAATTTCCATAAAACATAAGGTTTATTGTGGATGCCAACGAGAGTGAATCTAAGAGAGATGAAAAGACTCTCCTTTTAGTATTTGAGGACTTATCAAGAGCTTTCACGTAATATTGTAACAAAATATAAAAAAATATAAAAAAAAAAAAATGTCACTCGTTTCCATGAGGTATAACTTGGTGATTTCTTTTTGAGAGATTAAGTTTTAAAAAATCCTCTAGAGCGTTATTAAAATAGTAGGGAAACACAATTCAAACCGCGAAGAGGCAGTAACAATCCGAAGCAAACCTGGTCCTCTAAATTACCAGATTGTAATGATCCTACCTATTTCCATAACATTTAGAGTAACGATATCATAATATGGTTCAATAAAAGCTTTTAGGATATTAATGGGCAAGATCAAAATCTCATTACCACTGATTACATGGCGTCTAATTTATTGTGTTGATGATATTGGCAAACGTAGAAGTAGAAGGTACTTCTACTTTCTCTCATAGTTTAATTTATTATTTCAAGATAAATGTCGTACATAAAGTTTAATGCCATTCATCCTATCGCATTCCATGAAGTCAAAGTAAACAATGCAACGTGAGGTAGGTACTAGCTTGTCTATGTCTGTATTTTGGTTCAACTGGCGCGATTTATTTTGAACTAGGAAGGTATACCTATTAGTTTACTGTGTGTGCACTTGAATTAAAAAAAACAACAACATGAATGCTTAAAAACAAAGTGATATTCTATTTAATGTTATGTGCCTCGAAAACATTGATAAACAGAATATAATAAATGGTTTACGACTTATTAAAAATATGTTTAAACAATATTTTTAAACTTATTTGCGTCAATTGTACTATAGATCAAGGTAGGTATATGAATACATAACAGTTTGTGGTAAGTTTAGTTTGCGAATTTTGTCATGAATAAAGTTCACTATTACCTGAAAGCGACCATGTTAAAAACGAATCATTGCAATCCATCCGTCCAACGTTTAATAAATAGCACACATTTGTCACTGTTTAAAACACTTGCACAAAAACATAGCGACTTCGCGGTCGCAATTATCGGTACGTATGCAGTACACGTGTGTTGATGCGAGGCAGAGGCGCGTATGTCAACCAAGCATGGTCAGACAAGAGTCACGGTGCACCGCGCGCTGCGTCCCGACCGACAGTACGAAAACGATGCGTGCGCTATGGACGTAACTTGCTCGCTGAGCCCACCCGACGAGCGACATCATTACTTCCCTCCGAGCCGAGCACAAACTGCCGCGTAAATATAGAAACTGGACGCTGAACAGGAACACGAGGCGTTCAGGAGCACGCCCGCTATACACGCGCAATGTTATTGCTTGATGGCGAATATAAATAAAATAAAAGATGATGAAACGCCACAAATAACATGTAAGCTTTGTCTGCGCACTTTAATACGAATTAAACCGCAGACCACAACATATAATCTAGTCAATTATTATTGAANCTGTGCGGCACCTTTAAAAGAGCCCTCCGAAGCTTTAAATCTTATACTTACCTTTTCAGAAAATCAGATTGTTGTCAAGAACAATTAATTAATTACACGAAAGTAATTATTGATTTGTTTTTCCTAGATGGAAAATAGAGACCTGGTACACCAGGTTGCGCCCTAATCACTAACCACTTGACCATAGAGTCAATTTATTGTCTTAATGGACTATGGTACATTTAGTTTTTGATTCCATTTATTATGGTATCTTCTACTCACAGACAAACAGCGATAATAGAATTAAATATGAGCTCTACCTGAACTTTAATTTCTCTCATTTGGGGGTCGTTGCGGGTCAAATGACAAACGTGACCTTCACTGGTTGGGTTTTATTGGCGGTCAAGCTGTAGATCCTGGCTACACAGGAGTTGCAGCGGTGGGAACGAGAGGTGGAAATAGTCCCGTCATTTGGATGTTTGCTCTACATTGAAGATTTTTATTAGCACGTAAGGCTACATTTTGGCGTCCAGTTTCTCAGCTCAAACACTTAATATTCCAACAATGAAAGTGAGAGCTTGGTGTAGGTAATATTTTATCATGGCAGTGTAGAGTCACGCTCAGGCGATTAGAATCGTACTGTTTGCCTGCCATTAGCGAGGTATGCGGGCGATATCTGGCAGATAAAGATGTCCTGACTGACGGTTAGCGAACGACATTGTTTTTCTATGCCCTCGCCACATCAGGGTAAGGTGGCATGCTATGTATTGTAATAGGAGGGTTTTGCAAAATAATGCATAGGTTTGTGTTGTCTTACTTGCAAGTTTCAGTTCCACCCGTATTAACAAACGATGTTTGCTTAAGTGAAGCAGCAAATCGAACGCACAGCGTTGAATAGAGAGAGCTCTGTGATTGGTTCGTGTGTCACCTTGTGCGTCCACGCGCACTGTGAGACCTCATAGTAATGTTTGTGAATACGGGTGTAAGAGTCAGCACATTTTTGTTTTACTCCTATTCAACTGCGAAAAACTGTTTGTGTTTTTTCTACACTAAAAATTGCCACAGTTGATAATAATGTAAGCTCTACCAACTCGAATAGAAAAGCTTCCATCTATTTTAGGCCTATCTAACTAGTACTTATCTTGTCATAAACTTTAATGTGATAGTCCCAATAAAAACGAATTAATCATAGGCTCCGTCACATTATCATTACTATGATGTGCTTGGCATATAATGTAAGTACATTATACTTGTATATTATGTTATAAAGTATGACCGGTGCCGAGTTATCGCGAGTCAATGACCGTGACTTCCTAGATGCGTTGGGTACAGTCACTGGCAAAATTATTGTGTTGAATATTATTGTAGAGATGTAAAGCTCAAGTTGTGTGTTTAAACTTTTAGTTACTTAGCTATCTCTACCTAAAGATAAACTAAAAAGACTTACTTACTCTTTACCAACGTAGGTAATGTGAAAACTATTAGGTAGTTAGCTTACTTTGACTATCAACGAAATCTATGAAGCAATTTTGATTACCTACCACTCAAAATTGAATATTTTACCACTTGATTACCTAACACTTTCAAAGTAGGTAATTTTAAATTGCAATCTTGCAATTTAGGTAAATATTTGAGTACCTGCCTAACTATATTTTCATCACAAAATAAGTCGGTGTTTATTGAAGTAATTTTTATTGAGACTTTTAATTGATTTTATTTAATTACCTATCTCCGTGGCTTCGCTTGTTTCAATTAACCAATCGTAAGTACTGAATGGCAAAAAGATTTCAATTAACTGACATTTCCTGTGAGCTAATAATAATGCTATGCTTTCATACTGTGATAAAGATGAGAACGATAGCCTATTAATTCAATTCCAATTCATTGGTTTCTGCACGTGGCTTCGCCAGCCAATTCAAAATGGTACTTAATTTTGATTTAATTTTAAAAAGCCTTTTTACACGTCCCAGTATTATTTTAATACTACCACTGCCTCGACAATAAAAGGGCCAGCTGAGAAGAAGCAGCGCAAGAAACTCAATTGTCTAGCGTAGATTTTCGTTCCCGAAATTTATTTTTAAGAGTAATGAAGGGTCAAATATCCATCTCTTATTCACCCCCAAGTAAGTAGGTCAACCCTGACAAATTACAAAATTATCATAAATATTAGGTAACAAACTTATCTAAAAACTACTAAAACCGTTTACTTTTAAACAGTTTGCCTTATCTGCTACCAGTAAACTACTATCAGCACGTGGATAAATGTTTATTACTGTTAACTTTTCAATATTATCGATTACAAACATACTTAGTCGAGGATTTTTAAAGCAGATAGTCGCAAATATTTGTTTGGCTTGTTAGTTCGACATTTTCAATTGGTTGCTTTGCGGGTTCGAAATTCCGAATCTCTCGGCGGATAAAATGTTAGGTTCGTTCGTTTCAGCCAAATGATGTCCACTGCTGGACAAAGGCATCCCCTAAGGATTTCCATCCGGTCATGCGCTGCCTAAAAATGTTAGGTACCATTTTGTTTTGTTGTATTGTAAGGAAGGTTATGATGACATTTTATGCATTTTGCATTATCAAATTACCATGGTTTGAGGAGTTGGGACCCAGAAAGATAACTTTATGTACCTAACTCCTGTTTCGTAACGATTAGAGCTCGCTCTTATGCGATATTGTGAATTAGGAAGCCATTGGCTAATATAATATCAATACGAAACAATGTAAAAGATACAAATCGATCTTTGACCGGCAATGGCATGTTTACGTTTGTTTACGCGCATAAACTGCATTGTGTGCAATGTCATTCATATTGCTGACTTTCGCTGAACTTAGCTCAGTCCAAAGGTCTTTGTTGGATAAACAAACGAATCCTCAGATCAGCAGTTTTTATTCATTGTTATTTCATTGTATCATGAGGATAATACAAGCCTTAGTACCTAAGTTACTACCTGTTTAAATTATTTTAGGATGGGCGTTGGTAGAACCGCTTTTGTGATGTTTGTATAAAGATCAATATGGCAACAACATTTAAATAGTAGTTAACTTATTAATAAGGAAGTACTTATAGATACATTCGCTTTCGATAAAACATTGATACACTTTCTGGCCCGTGACCTCAATCTGATAGACTTTGAACTGAACAAAATAACTATACTTATTGACACAGCCCGCTCATACTAAAACACATTAGAGATGTTTAGTCATGTATCAACGTCGTATCGAGTCGTTACTCAGTGATATTAATTTCTTTGAACGTTCAAAAGCAGTCGTGTACGAATCGTTCTTGACATTTTGATCGGCTGTCGCCATTTGTGAGTTCGACGATCTCTCCTTTCATCCATAACTTGTGAGCTTACAAATGAAGGACATATTGAGTGCATATATTTGCGAGTGTCTTGGTAATAAAGAAACAGACATTTCCCCGGCATTTATTTGAAAAGTGCAATAAAAAAAAGTGGGTTCGATTCCCGCCTTAGGCAGTGCAATTATTTGAATTTATAATTTACAAGTGCAAGCAAGTTACTATTTTAACCCGATAATAATTGAAACTCTTTTTCGTTACAGATGGATAGCAGCTCGGAAGCGATGGAGTTGCGGCGAGAGCTCGACGCAGTCAGGAGTGCCCTGCAGCAGCAATCCGAGTCGGTGCTGAAGCAGCGGCATCAGCTCGTCGAGGCAGGACAAGCCCTAGTCGCCCGGGACAAACAAGCAGCCCAGGAGAGACGAATGAGACAAGACCAGCTCGCCCTAGTCCTCCGCTCCCTCGTCCTCCTCGAATCTCGCCTCACCAGAGAACAACGACAGATCCACGTCGCGCTCCAGCAAAAAGAAAAAATAATCAAGTCCCAGCAAGAAGAAATAACCAAACTCAAAGCCAGGAAATCTTACTGCAGCAACTGCCAACAACTCCTCGGGTTCACCAGTGAGCAAACCAATATTGAGACCGACCCAGAATTCCAGAGCTTAGAGAGCACCGATTCCAGATTCCAGAACAACTTTGTGAGGAGCTGTAGTTATCGCGAACGAAATTCTCCACCGGTTTTCCAAAAGAACACTAGACTAAGTAAAAGCTTCCAGCTGCCTAAGAACGATGTTGTCTACGGCAACAGTAGTTCCAGTGAAGAAGGGAACCATGGTAGCATTGGCAGCAAAGGAACGTTTATTAAAAATAAACAAGCTTTCGTTCGAAGAGACGTATTCAGGAGGTCAAGAAAATATTCAGGAAGGAAGAACAACCAACTGAAAAACTACAACAATCAGCTCAACAACAGCAGTAGCGCTGAAGAGTGTGTGGGCATGAGCTATCAAGTAAACCATGACGACAACGATGTCACAGCTAATCAGATAGCTAAGGATATCAGAAGGGCGTCGGAGAAAATTGATCAGCTCATTGTAGAAGCAGCTAAGAAAGAAGTGTATTCTACCAGTGATTCTGAAAAAACGTATTCCACAAAAATGGAACGAATCCATGGTATTAAAAGACAGGCTTCTGATGAAATCAAAGCGAACAGACAACAGTTTATGAATAACGTTCTCAAAGAAGAAAACAATGAAGAAAAGCCATGGTACTGCAATGTGAGCGATCCCGAACAAGATGGAGATTGTCTAGACCAAAGAAGTATGTTGAAAAATAATAAATCAAAATCCACCGACGATCTCTTGACCTTTGACAACGGTATTCTGAATAAAGAGATCATCGTTTCTGCTAAAAACGAGATACTGTGTAATAACATATTAAATAATAACGATGAAAGATTTAATTCAAGACTCGACGATAAGAATAATAACGTCGAATCTAATGCCGCTACAAAGAAGCAATCAGCTGAAGAAATAAATGAAAACTGGTACGCAAGTACAAGCGATGCAGAAGATACTCCAACAAATGAGATTTATAAAAATAACCCAGTTTTAGAATGCGTTAATCAAATTCTGCTTCAAAATTCATTAGACGATAGCAGTAATGATAACTCCAAGTCAAGTGAGGCTCCAAGCCCAAAATCATCAACTAAACGTGTTCAATTTTCAACACTTAACAGCATTTCTTACGATGAGAAAGTGAGACCTTGTGGTAACAATCACACTTTGCCACGATCTGATAAGAGAGCAAATAAAATTGTGAAGTTCAGTTTGGAGACAGCGTCTGAGCACAGCTATGAAGTGCCGAATACGGCGCAAGGTTTCCAATATGAGATCCAAAGCATATACAGCAATGAATATGAGCCTATACTTACTAAAGCGACTGAATCAAAGCCTGTGCCATTACCCCGTTCAGTGCCGCCTACTGAAAGCAAGCCCAACGTTCCCAAAATAAGAGGTTCTATTGTCAAGAATATTGCTGCAAATATAGAAAATCGCACAAACAATGCTGATAAGAAAGCTGACAATGAACTTGGGTCGATGAAAATATTCAATAAGCGAAAAGTGCCACGAACTCCTCCTGCGTTGCCACCGAAGCCAAAGAACCTTTCTGCTAAGTGGAAAGTCGAGAACACTGTCAAACCAGCAACAGAACCGTTAGACTCTGAAGCCGTTGCGGCCAATCAACGGGTTGCAGATGTTAAGATGAGAAAAGTGGGACAAGTAGCAACCATAAACAACGTGGAACCGGACTACTGCTCCATTTCAGAGATAAATGTTCCAGTAGTCAGCAATGGTAAGAGGGAGTTGCTACTCACACAGCCAACGGTCGAAATTCATAATGAGCAGTATCCGATACATGCCGTGAGCCAGCGCAACAGCGTGGCTAAAGTGGTATCCTTACCACGAATTCAAAACAAAATTAGTGACAAAGACATTCCAAAACTTCCACACGTCACTGAGATCATCATCCCTGATGAAGATGAGAAACCATGTGAAGACCAACCACGTTCTTTCCAACACAACACTGACAGTTACTTGAAGAACTTCAACATGCATCCTCTGCAACCAAAATTGGACCCTCGCGCTTCCATCCAAATGGGAAACACAGTGTCTTCTATACTATCAGAAATCAACAAAGGAGGTAAAAGTGGCACTAAACAGATCAACTTGACTGAGCTCGACAACCAGTTCAACCATGTGACAGATAAGGTTCAGGCGACTAACGCAGAGATGCACAAAGCCGAATATTTTGAGGACATCGACAAGTTCGATCTGTCTCAAAATTTTGAGGAATTCAAGATTGATGATGAACTCGGTAGCATTGTTGCAGAGGAATATCGCATAAGCTCTGGAAGCAGCGATGGTTCGATGTCCGATGTGGTCACCGAACATCTTCTGACAGTCGTGCCTGAGAAAGAAAATAAACATGATGCGGCTAACAGCAACGCTGATGAGAATGATACATTTCTTGAAAACAACGAAAATTTAAGCAAGAGTTTGTCAAAAAATGGGAAGCTCTCAAACAAGCCTGATTTGCTTTCAAATATAGAGAACTTAGAGACTGAATCTGTGAGGAATTCTGACATCGAGTCCAGTAACTCTTCAGGGAGCAACAGTGGCTCCTACAACACAGTAAAGTGTGAGCCAAGGATGATCCTGAACAACAATGTAGAGGTGAACGGGAATAAGACTAAGGGAGCGTTTGATTTTTTCCTTGAGTCCTCTGGTCTCAGTTCTAAATCTATTTTTACTCCTACCAAGAATTATTTGGGTACGAGACCGCCGAGTGCTAACCACAAGAATGTGTTGAAGCCTAAAGACATAAAAATGCGAGTTAAGAATCCCATTACAACGAACAAAATCAACGAAAAGCCTATGACGACTGCTATAAAATATTTTGAACCCTACGTGTAATCTTGTGCATAATCAAATAATACTAATGTAATGTAAACTTTTACAGAAATGTAAAATCTATTTATTGTAAAAATGAACTTGCCTGCATAATATTACTTTATTGTATTTATGTTGTTGTAAATATTTTAATTATTATACTTTAGTTATTTTTCAATTATAAAATATTTAATACTGATTCAAGTTTTATTTGACCTGTCCTTAAGTTAATGTTGAAAAGGATAATTGACAAAACAGTAAATGTAATTAATAATAATATTTATTTAGTCTTATCATAAAACAATTTATGTACAATTACAGAGTTACTTAAATACTAAAATATAACACTATTTATAAAGTACATAATGCAGTATTTGTGAACTGCTCGTTAACATAATAGTAGGTATATTTACAAACAAGAAAACAATACTAATAGATGAGGCAATAATCATCTATCACAGCTAAGCTTCTTTGGCTTCGTCCAAGGCCTCCTTTCAACTAAGGAAACGGCTGAATTCTTCAGCCATTTAAAAATATGCTTCTTTTTCTTCTGCACTCCTGAATTCACGGTATCTGAAGAAGTGAACGTCACTTGACCCGAGTTCTGCTCAGAGTCATCTGCATCACTAGATTCTGCATTGTATGCACCTGAGAAGTCGCTTTCAGAAGGTATCCTCGCCATGGAAATGTCGGCGAAAGAATCACGTCGTCTCTGGCTGTGGTCCCTTGAATACGGCTTCCATCTGGCAGCCCGAGATGTGACCGTTCTCAGGTACTTCTCGGAGGAGAAGGTCTCGGTGGGTCGGTCGACGAGGGCGGGGATGCAGGTCAGCCGGTCCACGGCCGTGTCCAGGTCCACAGGAGCGCCCCACTTCCGGTCCAGAGCGCGGAACGCAGCTGACAGGTGGAGATGAAGTTCCATTTTCAAAAATAGATGTTGTCTTGTCGAAGAGTTATCAGTGAATGATGCATTTGCTAAAATTGCTGGACATTATAAATGGGTCAGAGTTACCCCCTCCCTTCAAAATCATTAATTAGGTAGATGTATAGTTAATTGATTTCAGTAGGTAGTTATGAGGTGTCTAATGTGATGATTAACTTAATGATTGGGCAATTAACGGTAAAGAGTTGTTGATTCAACATTTAATAAACAAATTTCATTCAATTCATTAATGGCGATACTACTGAAAAGTAATTATTAGCTCATTTAGTAATTACTCGTATTTAATATTGGTAATAGGTATATTTAATAGGTCTATTAGTCAATAAATTTTATAATTTCTCTTCATCATTGCAATTATATAAAATACTTCCACATTTTGATTAGTAGATTGTAATAGGTAGGTACTTAGTCAGGTGGGATAGGTGGTAACAGTAAGTCATTTAATTATTTACTTACTCCTTATGTTTGTCAGAGAGCAATTGAACGTCGACGCAACATTCCATCCATTCTAGGCGTTAAGGCTTGGTATTTCTTCTAAAGTAGGTATTTCGCGCTGTCAAAATCTGCGCGCGCAATTCTTCGCCGAAAACAGNTTGAGGTCAAACTCTGCGATCCGCTTTCAGATTTGAGTTTTTGTCCCTGATATTTTAATATTAAGTAACTTTTTAAAGGTGGAGTACTCGTGTCAGCTATAACAACGCGCTCGAACCTGCAAATTGAAAGGATCCCTTCTCCCAATAACCTTTAAGGATATCCGTTTGCAGTTTGTTTGTAACATTTACCTAACTCGGTTCTACAAGAGCATTGGCCATGACCAGCAAAGTGTTTTACTCGTAAGTGTGCAATCTGCCGCAATTCCGCCCCGCAGATACAATGCAAACGATACAATTATACTTCCAACAATACGGAATTTCACAAGTTAAAAGTTAAACTAAATAGATAGGTTACTTACTTCGAGTAGCAAACGTGTTTGTTAAATAAATAGAGAATCGTACTTTCACTAAGGATACGTCGTACTGATTGTAAATTCCCGATTTACTAATTGCAAATAATCGATAAATATGAGTACGAACACTGTCATTGACCATTAAACTTTCAAGTTGACTTGGTTAAGTGCCCTAGATATGCTAGAGTAAAATGACTGCCTTGATGCACTTTAGAAACGCACTTCCTTCAAATCCTCTGAAGGCCTTCTTCCATAGGTTTATGTTAAGACACTTGAAGAAAATAAGTCATTTATGATTTGGCGGATAATTAATATTTTAAGGGTCAGTGTATGCCCAAAGCCAAATGGAAAATGGACAAGAGAGATCAGAAGTTTTGCAGTCGCCGATATGATATCACCACGTCTCCGAGTCCCGACAGTCCCGGCACAGTGGTCAAAGTTATATTTGGACGTGTGTAAGTACTTTAAACTAGCTTACAATTGTTTTTGGGAAGAGGTGGCAAATAGGCTGGTAGATCACCGGTAAGCATTCATCATCGCCCACATAAACTACATCCGAATCAAGGAATCCTGCCCTGACTCTGTGTTGCCTGTATTTTTGCTAAATATCGTCTATATTGGTAATTTCTTCGTTATATTTTATGTAAGGAAATTACATGTGGTAAAGAATAAGAGGTTCTATAAAGAAACTAACTATCTAATGAGATAAAATAACCGTTTGAGGATCTTTTAAGATGGAAGCTGGACAGGACGCGCTTTTAAGGTATTATTTTATGGATCAGAACTAGAACTTACATTATGAAACATCAATGTCGTCATTCAGACCCACTTTTGGCACTTTTGGTCAAAAGTGATTGATGACCAAACATAGTGAACTAATAGTGGAACCTAAATCTATGAATAAGGTTCACAAGAATCACAGCTGATCACAGCGGCATTGCCTGTCCACAATTATGACGTGTTTACATTTTTATTAAATTTAAATTAAAACTCTATCAACGCACAGCCCAAACCACTGGACGGATCGGGCTGAAAGGCATGCAGATAGATGTTATGGCGTAGGCCTCTAAGAAAGGATTTTACGAAACTCCACCCCTAAGGGGGTAAAACGGGATCCACGCGTACGAAGTCGCGGGCGGCCGCTATGCGCTATTAGGAAATACAATTCTTAATCGATCAATCATCTTCACAAAACAATAACAGACCTGAAAAGATGCAGATGCGATGCGATAGGTGATTAGATGAAGCAAAACTTACTTAGAAAATGCCAATACACTCGTATCTTATGATCGAAGGAGTTATTTATACCGATACGAGCTCCTAGAATTCATTGCCCTGCATCTGGTTTAGGTAGTTTTCGGATATACCCTTTTAAACAAGGAAAAACTTGTGAATACAAAAGCATATTATCGTTCAAAATATACAAAATATAGGAGTGGAGACTCCCCTTGTGCCAATATGAGGTTAAAAAAAAGAAATAAAAAAATGCAGAACAACAAAATATTGGCCTCATATTATTTATTTTTTGCAATTAAGAATTTACAATACAGTCGTGAGCATTTTTAAATTAGTGGTTCAACAAATTAACTAAAATGAATGGCCTAAATTATTAGGACACATAAAATTGACCATATTTTTTTCAGTGCATTGCTCCAAGGATTTTTTAACATGTTATTATTTTACTAAGAGAATAATTAAAAATAATAATTAATAAACATGGAGCTGACACAAAATTTATCAAAAGTTTTTAAAGCCATATCAAAGAAAAAATGTGTTGAATTCAAAATAAAATGTTTTTAAATATTTAGACATCTAAATCATCTATACTTATAATAAATCTGTAGAGAAGTCAATTCTGTACATGAAATATATTTTCAAAATAACTATCAGGGGGTGATTAGTGATCGATACTGATGCCAAAAATGCAATCAGTAAAATTTTAGTCTGTCTGTCTGTATGTTCCTTATAGAAACAAAAACTACTCGACGGATTTTAACGAAACTTGGTACAATTATTCTTCATACTCCTGGGCAGGTTATAGGATACCTAGGAATTCCCACGGGAACGGGAATTAGCGGGAAAATCCTTTTGTATGAAAAATCTAAACTGCTTAAACTAAACGCTTGAAATTTGGCATGGTGGTACCTTAGTAAACTTTAAGGTTAGTTACAACAGGATATTGCAAAATTCCCACGGGAACGGGAGTTAGTGGGAAAAAACATTTGTATGAAAAAATCTAAACCGCGTAAGATAGACTCTTGAAATTTGGCATGCAGGTTAAAATTAAAATAATGGAAATATGTAGCTCTATTAAACTACCAGTAAGTAGTCATAATTTTATTGATTAACACAAGAATCTGTGACATTTTCAACAAGTATTGGCACATTAATACATAACTAAACGATATTTATTTGGCTAGTTTGGCTAGTAATGATAAGTTTATGAGAAATTGAAAGGGGTAAATAGAAATACTCAATTGAAAATATTTATTTTAGATCACCAATGACCATAGCTACTCATAGGTTTACGAAAACTTACTAGAACTTTTGCAAAAATGTTTTTTAATTTTTTTCTTATTTTTCCTAAATTAAACATGACCATGTCCATTGTCCACCCTACGGCGCTGGCTTATACTCCCAAAATTAAACTATAAGCACGGTAATAATATAGATAGTATTACCGTGCTTATAGTTTAATTTACGGAGTACAATATTTAAATAATTTTAATAGGTGTGTCATCCTACTACAACAACATAATAAATCATTTTAACTTTATCTGAAACTATGTCTAGTTTTAAATGACTGGCAACAGCCATATGTTTAAAACATATCATGGAAAATAACTAAATAATTTACAGGTAACAAAAGAAGACCATAAATGATAAAAATTGTTTTAAACTTAAATTTTTTAATCATGTCAGTTGTCGAATAAAATCAAAAAGGAAATTATCTAGTAAAAAATTTTTTGATTACATTTATAGTGATTCTTAACTATCCCTTTAACTAACTAACCTTCATTATTTTTAATTTTATTTTACATTGTATTATAAAACTGCAGATAATGATATAAAAACAAAATAATACCTACCTCTTGCTGACACGATTTCCTGCATCGTCTTCAATGTTTTCATTCGACTTTTCAATCTCATCCTGGAAACAAAGTAAGTGTTACACAAGTTATATTTAACTTGTCATTGTTATAATGAAATGGAGCAATGGATATTGATAATAAAACAGATTTATAAAGACTATATTAAAGTGGGAACTACAGACAGAGCTAGGTACATCAATTAAGCTATAAGCTATTTTTCACATTTAATCTAAAAAACAATAGTATTGACAAACAATGATTGTTTTATTTTAATTGCATTATTTAAAAACCAAGTAAGCAAATGTGCATAAGTTTTAACAATTACGTTTTGATGGCTCTATATCTTTTACTTTGGATCAAGAAACCAAAGTTTGGTGCAACAAGAAGTGCTGTACGTGTAGCAAGGTAGGTATTGCTAGACGGACTCTTGCAAGTCCATCTGTCAATCTTTTGTGCTCCAAGTACTAAAACTTTTTGTGCTTATAATGTCACTCACCGTTTTTCTAGGTGTCTGCACACTCGGTGATCGTCGAATTGTTACAAGGGCCATACCACATTCAAGCTAACGAAACATTTTAGAGTTAATGCACAATCACAAACAAAAAGTGAAATATTTGACTTAACAAATTCATATTCTATCTTCTGAATCATTAAATGTAAAACCTAAATTTGACACGAAGAAACTTTAACAGAAATATGGGCATAGCTTTTTTAAGCATTCACGAATTACTTTTATAATCGCCACAACTTAAAATGGATTTTTTTTATTGAAATTCCTGAAAAATACGGATGATTACGAACAAGTAGGAGTTTGTAGGAGTTTTTACAGAGTAAAAAACAGACATTTTTCTTTTTTTATTAATTTCACGATCCACAGATAAGCAAATTTTATTAAGAAGTCAAGGATCTTCTATTTAATGGAGTGAACGCTCTGCAGGTATATAAACAAAAACTATAATGTACTCGAAAATGTTATCAAGCACTAGTTTATTCTAGACTTGAATAAACTTTATTAAAGACTGATACTTGATAGCTCAAAATTCATGACCGATAGCAGACTATGCCGAAAGCACCGGGTTTTTAATAAATCCCAGACATACAACACTGACAAGCACAGAGCCCCGATTACGGTAACTTTTATAACGTCTACAATCCAGACGCGTTTCTGATTCTGCGATACGATTGGTCAAAACAGCTGACGTACGCTGTTGAACGACCAATCGTATCGCAGAATCGAGAAGCGTGTCTGGATTGTTGACGTTAAAAATTACCGTAATCGGGGCTCAGTGGGTCTAGTCAAAACGCACTTTAAGGCCGGGTAGCAGAGAAAATGGCGAAAATGAGGTTTTCATTTTTCATTTTTGAGGTACTAAACAGTAAAATTAAAGGCTAAGATTTTTATTGGGCATAGTTGAGGATATTTTCTAGGGCTATTAACGGATGGAAACACGATTTGATGAAGTTGACTCGATAGAATAAATTCCCAAAGTTACCTCTATTCGTTTTCTAATTATGGTTTTATTTTTAAAATAAGCGATTTGAGATTCTAAATCTCTTACTAAACTAAAGTTCAGAAATAACTTGAGGGCTTTTAACGGATGGAATTTTTATATTGCGTCTTATTTAGTTACTATGTTAAAAAATGTGGAAAAAATCGTCCATGACGGCTTGGACAATCTCAATCAGTCGCGCGGTGGCGCTTACGGAGGACGGACGCGTGTCAGTTTTTTGGACGTGACAGTTCGCGATTTGTCAATATTTTTGACAATGATGACTTTGATGAGTCACAGTATAATAATATCAGTGTTACTGGAGAAAGCTAAAATATTTGATAATTAAGAATTATCAATTTTGTCTACCTATTGAAATTTAAATCGTTCGCATCCTTTTAAACGAAGACTCTACTCATGATACATAGTAAATTCCTTAAATATGAGACAAAACCAATGAGTTAAAATTACATATTAATAGTACCTACATACAATCGTCTTACACTTATTAGAAGAGCACACTGATACAAATAAATAATAAAAAATTAGGTCAGAGGGTCAAATATAGGGGCAGCTGCACGTCACTGAAAGACGATTCTGTTTACTCGGCATCTGGGCTGGAGAACATGAACCCTTGTTTACAGATGCAGATGTAAATGGAGTTATAACTGGACAAATTTTACATGAAATGTTTAACAGAAATCAGTTAAAAGACACATACATGGAATACCAATAAGGTTGCGGAGGGAAAGCTACCTATTATAAACTAGCGGCCGCCCGCGACTTCGTTCGCGTGGACCTCGTTTTACCCCCGTTAGATATCATGTTGATAGATGGCGTTTCACGGCTTCCCCCGAATGAATATTTACGAACGTCATACAGTAGTTTGTCCAGCGCTGTAGATTTTAACCAATGACGATAGGTAGAGTTCGCTTTTTAGACACGTCTTATTTATTTATTGAAATTTATTTGTCACATATCGTCATAAGTTAGCCTATATGTTAATCTGGGTTATAAACAATAATACTATAAAGTTTCAACAAAATCCGTACAGTAATTTTTGCGTGAAAGAGTAACAAACATCCAGACATCATGACATCCAGACATCCGAACTTTCGCCTTTATAATATTATAGTAGGATAGGATATTCACAATCCAAACTAATATTTACTATTTAGCATTTACTTACAGTAAATATATTAGTTTGGTTTTCACAATCGAACGGGTGCGAATCGACCCCTTTGAGAACTAGTAATCGCATACTACTAGTTCAAAAAAGAGTCGATTCGCACGCGATTTTAATACTTCTAATACATCCGGGCGAAACGCCTACTAAAAAAAAATTATTATTGAAAGGGGACGTTTCGCATATTCGTGCGAAGGAAAATCGTGCGAAACTACTACTAACCCAATAGGGGGTAATAGGATGTGTTGGTAAAATATGATCAGTTAAAAAAATAACACCTTATATAAAAACCGAAAAATTCTTATTCTTATATTATTCTAATTATGTAAGAGCATAATTATTAAAGTCGAAGTCAAACATTCTTTATTTGTGTGGACCTATATTAACGAGAGATTACAAGGCGTCAAATATTTCAAGAAAAAAATTAAAAACTATTATAAAGCTAAATTTTGCTCTCATGGAGCCTTTACCTACTCTGACAAATCAAGACTTAAAGAAGAAACTAATAATAAAACTATTTAACTGTCCTGCAATGAAAAGCTTGATCGGGTACAACACCTCAAGTTATTTTAGAACTTGATTTCATTAAGGGACTCTGAATATCAAATCGCTTAGGTATCTAAAGTCAAACGATTCTGAAATGTCAAGTGGTATAAAGTTGGGACTAATAAATAACCCATTAAGATAGTAGCGCCCTCCTGTCAATGACATACCTGGAACGATAGAGTATTGGACAACTAATAAAAATGCTTAGTCCTAAATGACTGACGGATATCGTAGAGACCTGAAAGTTGGAAGGTGTGTTCTTTGTATGACGTAGGCATCCGATTTTCCGAAATGGGGTCAAGAAATGAAGGGGGTGAAATAAGGGGGCAAAGTTTGTATGGGACAGTGATTATTTGGTTCAATCTACTTGAAATTTTGCTTAACAATTCCTTAATATTATAATTTATGACAAACGTGTAAAAGGGGTAGAAAGTTATTTTGGGAGTCTTACTGCTTTTGATTTAATTACTTTTTATTTTTACAAGTGTTTGAAAACTCCATGTCAGATTGCAATCAATGTCAAGTGAAATCTCAAATTGAAATGTCTCAATTTCAATGAGGAGGCTCTGCATTTATTCCTAGAATTCCCCTAACACCGTCAAATTACCCTTTCGAATTCAAGACAGTGCAGTTTCCCATCAAAATCTGCTTCGTAATGACTATAAACAAAGCTCAAAGTCAAACTCTAGCGACCTCTGCATAAACTCCCATGAGTGCTCAGAACGGGTGCCTGCGGCAGGTAACCGCGTGTGATGCTCATAGTGATTTTCAATACACCAAATACAAGAAAACACCCAGACCAATACAAAAAAATATGTATGCAATTTTAGTATGATATTTTTATTTATTAATAAACAAAAAGACTGAACAAAATTGATGCGTGTACTGATTAAGTCCGCCACAGTGCATTTGTTACTTTGTGTGCTGAAGTATAAATAAATAAATAAATTAATGTAATTAACCACATGCAAAGTTTCGTGAATTGCAACAACTATTATTTATTATCCAAGCTCTAAATAATCGCTACTAAGAGTAACTGATCATAAAATGTTTTTCCAATCGCTCAAGCTCCCGAGGACCTAACGATAGGTCGGGTGACGTAATCTTGAAAATTCCGGAAGGTCGGGTGACGCCACGCCTCTTTGAACCGTGTTTACTTTGGCAGTTATATTTTATATTTATTCGATTTTAAAATATATTCCCAAAAATTCTGAAAGTTGTTTTAATTTGTATCACTTGGATATGATTTGTATTAGAAAGTGCTGTGAGTGTGACGCTTGAACGGAAGGATGTCAACCTAACCTAACCAACTGGTATTTCTATACTGTGTAGCCGCGAGAGCTCTTTGGCGCGCTGTCTTCGGCGAAGTATTGCGCGCGCAGATTTTGACAGCGCGAAATACCTACTTTAGCAGAAATACCAAGCCTTAAGGAATATCCGGACTATGAATGCTACAAAAATAAAAAAGAAGTATCCATCGTAGCGCTACGAGTATCTGCATAAACGGTAGCGCGTATGCTACGGCGTGCTACGAGCTGCTACGAGCAAATGAAATTCTCGGTAACGCATTTTCTTACATAACTTTTCAATTCCTATCATTGGAGGTCCGAAAATATTTCTCATACAATTTGATACCATAATGATCATTCTTCATAAAAAAATTAAAACCTACATATTTAAAGACATAATCATTGATATTCATAATATCACTAATCATACACTTAGTTTTTACTAATATTTGTTTTCATATATTTTTCTATACTAATGATCGAAACTCATAATCATTCGAATAAATAACTATAATATTCATAAATGTGATGTATCCTAATATATGTTTTCATAAATTTATTACTCATAAGTGTATTTATCCATATTATTGAAATACATGATGTCTATATTCGTATTAAATCGTATTTTAATATTAAATTAATTTGAAATGGTCCAAAACAGGCAATATTTTGTGCCACAAAACTAACGTGACAGAAACGAATCGCTGCAAAACCGACTCCACGTAGTCTTGTCTGCCCTACCCCTAGAGTGTAATTTAAAAGCCGGAGGCGCGGAGGGAGGGCAGCCCTCGCCCGCTGTAACGAGGCTCAGGCGCCCGGGCGAGCTGGAGCGGCTGAGGCTGGTCGCCGAGGCGCCGAAGGCGCCGATGGCGGTCCAAAAAGCCGAAGCTGCGGAAGCAAGCGTGGGTGCCTGAGCCTCGTTACGCAAGGGCGGAAGGGCTGCACATCCCGCAGCGCCGGAGACGACGAGAAACCAATACATGCTGCATGCTTGCTTTCATACTGCATGCTCTGCATGCTTATCTACTCTATTAAATTATATATGACTTTTTTAAAGATACGAGTATGTCTGTTATAAAGTAAATTATTCTGAACAACAACATTATGAGTTGAAGTATGTTCTTAGTAACAACATTATTAATTAAAACAATATGATCAATGAATGTTATGAAGAAAAAAGATCTGAAAATAAAAATTATGTATTTTAAATGGTTCTTGGTACTAACAGTATTGATAAAAAAATTATGATTACTAACTGTTATGAGCTCCGATGGTAGTAATAAAAATGTATGAATAAAAAAAGTATGAAAGATAAAATTATGAAGAGAGATTA